ACGCCCCCCAAAAAAAGTAAATAGCGAGGCAGAATAATGCTATGCTCTGACTTGTAAGTGTCTTTATCTTTTTGTCCACTCTTCCTGCTGGCACAGAGACAGTTAAGCAAATGAGCTGGCATCCTCGGGAGGAGGAGCGGGCAAGCAGGAGGAGGCAGCGGCGAGGAATGCGTGTGCGCTTTGTTAATGCCGCATATCATTATATCAACAAAGTGTACAGATACATATATCTGCCGCCATGCATCCACTCAACAATAATAATGTGCGGGCATTTATCACACTTTTTTTTGCGCCCCTCAAACAAGTGACCAAGGCGTTCCCAGTGGCCAAGGATGCAGAGTCGAGACAGCGTGTTGGCTCTAAAATTTCAGAGAAATAGTAGCAAAGGCAACGGCGAGAGCAAACGACAACAACAAAAGCAACAGCAACAACAACAAACGAAATAAATAAATGTAATGTAGCAACAACAAAGAGCAAAGCGCCATAAATCTAAATAACAAATTTTTACGAGAAATGACCATAAATAAGATGTTGCGGCCTAGCAATAGTGGCGCAGACAAGCCCAACCCCCTAAACGTGCCACGTACAGTGGTTAGGAAAGGAGAAACAATATCAAAATAGACTTATAATATCGTATAGTAAAAATTCAATTTCGAAACATAAAACACTACAAATGCTATGCAAGGAAGTTGTTTACTTATTAGAACTAAACAATTTGATGTCGCTTTTAAAGATGGAATGATTTTGTGAGCAAATTATTTGTCTGTCTGACCGTAAAGTAAAATTTTCAATTAGACAAATTTCAAATCGCATTGTAGAATGAAGAGCTATCAGCATTCGACTTCAATTGCAACTGCAAATATAAATCGATAGTTCCAAGGGCTTTGGAAAGTAAATGTTTACCACTACCAGGGGTTATATGGTTTTGAAATTGGAAGTTATATTAATAATGAAATAACGAAGACATTTTGTGGAGGCGTCCCTATGTTATGTTAGAATTCTACGAATCAGTTATATGGGTGCGTCAGATGGGTGCATTTCTACCAACTCAAGTGACAGAGAAAGAACGCTAGTGGATGCCAGCACACTTTAAACTGTGGCAACCCTGAACCCCAACTTTTTGTAGACAAATATTAAGCGCTATTTGAATTGAATATTTGTTGTTAATAAGACTGCATTATTTTTAATGCGAATAAACGAATTGCCCACGAACTAATTAACTATAACTCTATATTTTCTTTTCTTGTGAATTTTTCAACACTACTTTAATTATTAATAAATCTCACCCGCTATTTAATAATAAATGATCGATCATTTCAACAGCGTAGTAAATTAAATAATTGTTGAAATTAAGACTGCATTATATCTAAAGGGAACAGACGAATAAAACTCTTTCTTTTGTTTTCTTGTGAATTTTCCAACACTACTTTAATTATTAATAAATTTCAACCGCAGTTTTATAATAAATTATCGATTATTTCAACAGCATATAAATTAAATATTTGCTGTAACCAAAACTCTACCTTTTGTTTTCTTGTGAATTTTCCAACACCACTTTAATTATTAATATATTTCCTTTTGCACCACTGTCGAGCGTTAAGCTGCCTGACCAAGCGGCAACAATTCCTGAGAGTTGTGTTAATTTAATATTATTACTTTTCATTACAACTGCTTGTGCCAGTGTGTGTGTGTGTGTGTGTGTGTGTTGTGAACCATTATGCCCCAAAATAGGCACAGCAAAATGTTGTTAGTTTGCTGTAGCATACGAGTATATGCATGTAGACATACTATCTATACATATACATATAAATATATATAATTTTTTGTAAGAGCTGTCGTTGTCGTGGCTGGCAGCGCTTGGGGAGTCGCTGGGGCCAAATGTCAACACATTAAATGAGTGGGAGGGGTGCGGTTGCAACCCCCATGGCCTGCCCTGATGCTGCCCAATAAATCAACAACATTTATCTGAGACCACACATCCGGCACAATGGCCAATGGCCAGTGGCCAACAATTGAAAATGGCCAACTGCCTGCCCATCTCCACCTACTTACTGGAAGCAAAAGCACTACCTATGGGCTAATTACTTGGCCACTTGGCGAGCGAATACTTGTCTGTAGGCTGCTCCTCAATCACTCAAAGTTCTAAATTTCAAATTACTTTTGCTGCATAAACTTGCTGCGAACTACCTTGGTCATATTTCATCTAATACTAGTATATGTATATGTGCGAGTATAGCCAGATATCTGTACATATGCGAGTATAAGTATGTATGTATGTGTGTGCACAGCACACGGCAGAAGGGCTTAGCGTAAAACTTTTTCTATATGTTAATTATGGCGGTGAATTTATTTGAGGCTTAATATGGCATGTCGTATTCAAACACTCACACATAAAAAGACACACATACATATGTGGGTGTATACACTCAGAAAAACAAGCAATCAGGCTAGGCTGCCATCGCAGCTAGTTTAAGTTCTCTATTGCATTGATTAAATTTTTGTTTGTTGATGAAATGAATAAATAAAATAAATTCTATTTTCCAAGAATCAGATTGAGTGTCATATTTTAAGTTACGTTGATTACTTGGCTATCAGTTTTACTCTCCGTTTTGTTTATAATGTATAGATAATATAAATTCGATAACATGAAATAATATTTGATACGCATTTTCAAAGAATGTATTTTTTGGTTGAAATTAAATATCAATATAAATTATAAAAGGATTTAATTTAATTTTATTTCTTGTTTCAATTCTTAAATAAATTAGCGGCTTTTTCTTAATCATCAGTCTTCCTACAATATCTAATGACTATTATTTCATAATTAACAAACGTTTCGGTCAATAAACAGACAAATGTTTACATAAACAGTTGAAAATTGGCAAAATCGGAGACTTTATATCACATCTGAACTATCAGTAGCAAATGTGTGTGACTACCTTTATTTGTTGCTTTTAAAATTAATATTGTTTTCATTATTTTGGTATCCGTTTTTTTTTTGGTTTTTATCCGCTTTTTTCAACAATAATGATTCACAGCAGTAGCCCTAAACTATTTTCCTTTCGGCAAAAAATACTTTAAAGTTGGTATTAAAAAATGAAAAGTAAAGGCAAAATTAATTGTTCCAGTATTTCTCTTTCAATCATTTTTGCCGAGTGTATGGATTTATGTACGAGTATGTATAGTGAGCCGAGAATCGTTTGGTTTGCCGCTCCGCTTTCTGTCTAAACGAAAACTTTTCAAATTATCGTAGCATCAACTTTTCTCGCTCTCGCTACCACTCTTCATCTCTCTGCATATTAGCCCCGCCCCCAAGCCAGCCCCTCCCCCCTCTGACACTCTCGCTACTCAACTTACATAAAACAGAGAATTATTGCGACGGTAGTTGTGGCAAATTAATTAAAACTTGTTACAAAAACCAAAAGTGAAATGAGTTGCTCTGCTGATATTTGAGTTCTCTGGCAATTGTCGAGCGACTTGTGTCGTCGTCGTTGTCGTTGTCGCTAAGCGGCTGTCGTTGAGCGGCTTTGTGTCATAATTTCAACAAACGACAAATTAGTCGAGACTCCTGCCTGACACAGCTACATTGTCATATTCTCGTATTGTCGCATTGTCGATGCAAACTGCATGCAAACAATCAGAGAAAAAAAGGCAAACCATTTACATGCAATACAACGTACCATTTTGCATATGTTTTGCACTTCCTGCCCCTGCCCCGGCCCACGAGTCACCGAGTCTCGACCAATGTTGTCTAACATTTTGCTGCTCTGTCAACGCCTGCGGTAGGCTGGCTGGCTAGCAGGCTAGCTGGCTGGTTGGTGGGGCAGAGTTTTACGGACAACAAGCCACAGCCAGTTGTACAAACATTTCACGCGGCAAAGTGCCGCATAAATTTCAATTTAATGGCCTACACACAAAAAGAGGTGCGACAAACTCAGAGCTGTACAAAAATAAACAAATAAAAAGAACCCCACTCTGGCCAGCCAGGATGTGAAATGTGCAATGTTTGTTGTGCCTCTTTTGCTTCCTTGTCCCTTGTCCTTGTCCTATTCGTCCTTACGTCCTATTCTATTCACTTGTTTATCGCTTGGCTATGAAATGAAACAACATCGCGTCGTGACAACAAACATATAAAAATTATGCGCAAATTCAAAAGTAAAAGGAAGTTTCAAATGTTTTCCACAATTCTTATAATATGCAGCAATTTTCTGCCCGTCAAGTGGGGAAGTTTATCAGTTTTTCTTAAAGCTAAGTACCTACATTTTAAACGTAGCGTTTATTTAAAAATGAATATGAAAATTTCTTAGTATTAACTAAGCTGTAAATAATTTTAAAATTAGATTTTAATAAATTCCAAGATTTCTTTCTATGTTAAGTTTTTTCTTTCTATTTGGTAGATCTGGCCAGGCTTGGCTGTGAATCTTGACATTGCTAGCCGAAAAGCAAATATTGTTCCCCCACCGATTCAGGAAGTTTCAAATGTTTCCACAATTCTTTTAAAATGCAGAATTTTCTCTCCATGAAGTGGGGAAGTTTATCAGTTTTTCTTTTCTTTTATTTTTTTTAAATGTAGCGCTTGTTTAAAATTAATAATAAAAAGGTCTTAGGTAACTTATTTATAAAACTGAGCTGTGAATAATTTTTAAAATTAGCTTTTAATTAATTCCAAGATTTCTTATTCTGTTAAGTTTTTCTTTTATTTGCTAGATCTGTGACGCCTCTGATCATACATCATCATACATCATTACTAGCCGAAAAGCAAATAATGTTCCCCCACCGATTCAGAGGCGTTTAGTAGATATTATTATAATCTAATAAGACTCTCCTACTTGGGATATACTAGCTTAGGAGGTTTTATTTAACTTTTATATTGTTTGTTGACATAAAAATTCTAATCAAATAAAACAAATAAAAATATATTCTCAAAAATATGATACTATCTATTAGTATACCCTATGATATATATGTGTTATATATAGTTAGTTAAAAGTTGTACTTACGGACTGCATCGACGGGCGCTGGCGTCCACATGAGCAACACTAGGAAGGTGGCTGCAACAAATTTGGCTGCTGCGGCTTGAAATGTTGCCATCTGCAGACCCATTATTTATGTAGAGCGTGGGTTCGTGGGTCGATTGTGTGTATGTGGGTGGACTTATATACGAGTATATATGTATATATTTGAATTTGTATATATGTGTGTATATAGAAGCAAATGGCAGAAGGACAACAACAACAATTATTATAATACGCTATATTATTTACACAAAGTGTCGCACTGGCTTTTCAACATACAGTCAGACTTACTCTTTGGCTGACTAAATGACTGACTGACTGACAGACAAACTGACAGATTGACTGACTGACAGCTTGAGTGCTCAAAATTCAGCGTCCTTGTGGGTGACAAGGCGTTGTAAACAGCGCTCCCAGCGCTAATTGCATGCAAAGCAGCGAAGAGGGTATGTTTTTTTAGGTGTGTGTGTGTGTGTGTGTGTAAGGGAGAGGGTGTAATAGTGTGCGTGTGTGTGAGAAAGAGTGCGTATGTGTGTGTGTGTGTGTATTTATGTGTACCAAGTATTAGTTTTGTTTATTTTTGCGTTTGTTCAACGTGTTTTTGAACGTGCGTTGTTTTGTTTTGTTTCAAATATATTTAAGTATATATTTATTATTATTATAATTATTTATTGTTGTTGTTGGTTTAGCGTTCGTTAGTTGATGATGATTTTCAATCATTGGTTAAATACATTTTCGCAAGCCGAAAATCATCGGATATAACAAGATGTGTTAGTAAATGCGATGTCATCATCATTATTGGCATGATAGCGACGATATTTGTATTGCATGAAGATTTGTAGCCATTGTTATATTATTTGTTGTTGTTGTTGTTGTTGTCACGCATAGAATGGTGCGTCGCAACATTGTCGTGGTTGTTGTTTTTGTTGTTGTTGTAACGTGCGCCATTTATGCGTTGTGGTTGTAGTTGTTATTGTTGGCATTATGTTGTTCATTTAGTTGTGAAACAATGACATGCGTGGTATATTGTTGTTGTCGTTATTGTAGCCACCAGCCGCATTGACGTCATCACCAGGAGGATCATCATTGTCGTTGATTGGTTCGCAGAACGAGTACCATGTGGAGGGAAGCTGTTGTTACTATGCGAATAAATTACCTGATTCTTTGTGGACTTAAATACTTAAAACTCTAGTATCATTATTATTTCTGTATACACGATTATGTAGGTGTGTGTATATACTATATATATAAGATATGCAGTTCTGGATATTTGCTCTCAATTGATTGCATCTGACAATGATAAATCGATTGTTTTTCTGTTTATTTATAACGGTGTATATGCATTTTATTTATTGACTCATTTTTCTTATTTCTTTATTCTTTAATTTTAAATTTTTATTTATGCTTTCTTATTCCGCTGCGGCTGCAATGAGAAGGAAAGAAAAAAAGAGAGTGAAGGCACTTGCCAACTGTTGGCTTAAGTTGTCGCCGTGACAAACAGACCTTTCTCTGTGTGTGTGTGTGTGTGTGTGAAGGAAGAAAGTGATTTCTGCAAGTGGCGGTAAAAAAAGTTTCCATTGAGCAGAGCGAGCGGACAAACTGCACAATTGATTGAAAACAAGAACCGACAGCATTTAATGACAATAAGCACAGCACAGGATGTGGCAGGTGTAGTTACTTGCTATAAAGCGTAGCATACTTTCCGGCGCAAGGTAGAAGTAAGGGCGAATGCAGTTAAAATACACAAATGACATTAAAAAATAATAATTTGAACGGCTTGTTTGATCATAACATTTCAATTTTTTTAACAGCAGGTACATATTTCTCGTAGAAAAACGAGTTATTTAATTCAATAAATCCACAAGCATTTACAATGATTTGATTTGAAAATAGAACGAATATTTCAAAATGCAGAAGAAGCAACAGAAAAGTTGTAAGTGAATTAATTTAATATTGTATTAAAAATGAAGCTGATTTTATTTGACTTTAAGCTTTTTGATGAAAAACTAATAAACGCAATTGAATTGTAAATAAACTTGTTATTTAGTAAATTGTACATTGTTCCGTACCAAAATGTTTGAGGTTTGCAATTTAATGATGACTTTTTTTCAAATTAAAAAAAAAAACAGGTACACTGTGCCTTAAACGGTAGCATGAAGTTTAGGTTTTATTACCTTTTTCATGCGTTTACGAGTTTCATTAAAAAAGGTAGTCCTACACTAACTTCAAAGCATTTATGGGAAACAATAAAGCAGATTAATTTGATCTAAAATGAAGGCATAAAACTACCCATAAATTTTAGCTAGCTGTTGCAAGCTTTTTCTGCTGGTTGTAAGTTACGTATGTACAATTAATTTTCTCTCTTCATTTTTTAATAAAGACCGCTTCTGTTAAGTTTAGATGTGAACAATTCAACCGCAACTACAACCACATAACAAAAGACGCAACTTAATGGAAAAATGTATATTTTGCATTTGTTTAACGCCAGGGAAATATAAACAGAATATAAGCTTACTCACTAACTCCAACACCCTCCATTACTAAGCACCACTTTGCGTGTGGAACTAAGTGTATTCTAACTTAATGCCTTCCAAGAATATTGGGAATAATTCTTGCTTTAAAAACTCATTATGAGCATTATGAATTTGCATTAAAAGCAATTTGAATTAAAATTTGTATAACTTTGCATTTGACTTCAAAATTTTCAACCCTCAACCCATCTACTTCTCTTTTTTGTCCGACTCAAGACAACTTTAAAATACTTTTTATGTTTCTAAAAGCATCAAATCTAATTCATAAGTATGCTAATTAGTTCATCCATTACGTCCGTAAATAAAATAAATTCATTATAATAATTTATATTATTTTTTAAGTTAAGCCCAAGGCCAAGTCCCTATAGCTTAGACCACCATAGCTTTTCTGTAATTTTAATTACATTTAAAATGTATATAAGTAAATCTATAAATAAATAGATAAAAATAAATATATAAATAAATATATTTTATCATAAAAATTTATATAATTTTGCATTTGGCTTCAAAGTTTTCAAATCCTTACGAAATTCAGAATATTTTGTTCAAAAACAAAACCAAAGTCTAGGCATACAAAATGAACATCACTTATTTGAATAATCAATTTCTTTAACAATTTACAAATTTAAATACTCTTCAAAGTTTAGAATCGCCTTAACAACAAACCATTGCCAACTTCTAAGCGCTAGTTAGTTAACGATCTCAAGCGTAAGTAGAATGCAATGGGGGGAAGCTTCAAAACATGTGCTAGCTCATTTAAAATGGCAATCAAACAAAGTCGAGTCAAGTAGTTATCAACTAACCCACACACATATACACACATACACACACACACACACACACACACACACACATGGTACACATGCAAACGCCCACACATACAACGGCTTACTACCTATGATATAGACAAGCGAACAAAGTAAATATACATAAGCCTCTGTGCATTGCATGAGCAATGTCAGTTTGATTTTTTGTTTTTGTAACCACTCGGCTTCCTCTCGACCCATCAGCAGAGCAGTTTGTTTACTTCAACTTATGAACCCACTTAGTAAAAAAATAAAATGGAAAACCAAAAAAACGACAAAGAAAAGTATTTGCTGTTGCGTGGGCGTGCCAGGCACTCAACTGACTGTGGGCGTGTCGGATGCCTGACTACTTCGCTGTATTTATATGCATATATGTAGGCATACATATCTATATATACATATACATATATATATATACTATACATATCGTAGTGCTCTATGCACTCTTGTAAAAATCAATTAAACTTTTCAAGTGAAGTTATAATGGCTGGCAACCCTTTTTTAGCTGTTGTTGTTGTTGTTGCGAGCCACTGCCTGCTTTTGTTGTTGCTGTTTGTGCCTGGCAGTCAGTCAGTTAGTCAGTCAGTCAGTGAGTTTTCTTATTGTTTTCATAGCCGGTAACTTGCATTGTGTGCTTGGCTTGTTGTTGCAGTTGTCAAAAGTTTTAAAATAATTGGATTTTTTTTGCACTAGCACGAACATTCAACATTCAACGCTCAACGCTCAGCAACGCTCAACAACGATGATGATGGCGATGGCGATGACGCTGGCGATGATGATGGGCATGGGATTGGTGATGGGGATTGGGGATGGGGATGGAGATGACGGCGCTGTTCTATAAAAATTAAAAATTTCTTTGTTACAACTGACGCTGTGGAGGCGTGCAGCGGAGAGTGCAGTGAGAAGGGTAGGAAGTAAACGACATACACAAGCATACTTAATGCACTGCAGTCAGTTTTTACCCAATTTCCATTGAAGTTTTCAACACCAATTGTAAACGTCAACAACAACATTGAGTGGTGCCTGGCAAAGGCAAAGGCGTAGGAGCAGGGCAACCAGCAACAGTGTATGGGGTAGGTGTAGGCAGGCAGGCAGGCAGGCAGGCATACAGGCAAGCACCATCGTCATCCTCATGCCAACTTCGAGTGGCGCCACTCAACGAGGACGCTCGCTCACGCTTTGGCCAGCACTGGACGGCAAGGCAACTCAAATACGCGGCCCACTCACGCACGGTCTGCCAGTTGATTTAATAGTTTTTTCTTTCGTTCTTTTTTTGTTTTTTGTTTTATTATTACTATTATTTACACGAAACATTAATAAAGTGGCAGCGAGTGTGTGGGAGGTGCGTGCGAAGGGAATGGTGTGGATGCAAGCATGACTATTCCAATTAACTTAATGACAATTGATAATCGACAACTCATTATCAGCAGACGCACAGACAGTGTATCTACACTTACACCCCCACCTTACATAGACTTTCTACTGCTGTTCTTTTTCAAGCACTTTGTCCCCCAACTATCAGGCGCACCTCGCGTATGCGTGATATTTGTTGCAAGTGGAGCTGTAGGAGTGTAGAAAATACACCAATTTATTGATAATAAACCTCCTTTGAAATAATATGCTGCAGGAAAAAACTGCAACCTTTTAATCGTAAGCTAGACATTGCAATATAAGCTTTTAATTATGTCATATCAAATATCGTCAGAGAGTTAAGCGTGGATTAAGTTTCCTTTCCCTTTTTCTCACTCCAGACATTTTTCTAAATTCACATGTTGTCTACAAATTGCACTATTAATGCCCAAAGTTATCTGAGGCAGTGCTTTGATGAAAGTAAACAAGCATAGAGTTGATGGTGTTTCTCATATTTATACTTCCTACAAAAATGTTAAAAAAGATAATGCTTTTAAGAGCTTCCCTTAGACTTTTGTAAGCAAAACTTCTATTAATAAAGACTGTTTCCAGCTAAGTTAAGGAATTGAAATATTGTGAAAAATGCTTTGGTTATTTTGTTTTTAACAGACCGTTTTATTATTCAACAGAACGACTATACGAGAAATCCAATATTAAAACGATAGATGAACA